CCAAAATTTTTTTGATAAAAATTGTCATTGTATTGAAAGTAAGTTGACTTTACACATATTGTTAAAAGTTCAATAATGGTGTTAATGCTTAGTTGCAAGATTGGTGTCATTTTGTAATTTTTGTTTGATAATATTTAAAGTTTTATCAACAGGAATTTAAAAAATAAATTAAAAATTTGGTATTAAACCCCGTTTGTTTCAACTACACGAATTGTGACTCTCGCTAAGAAGGGTGCTTAAAAGTGAGCGTTTTTGGTAAACGTTCATAAAAAACAGAGTTATTCACACGAAATATGCATTTCCTTTTCGTAAAACTGACAGTATTCGCCTTCGACTCATGCTGCGAAAATTAAGCTGGCAGGAAATGACATTCATTCTATGATTAAAGCATTCTGTGATATTTTCTGCAAATAATAAGATTATTTAGATTCTGGCTGCGATAGCATAAAGACCCGTCATTTCCCGTTAGTTCTCAATCTAGTGGCAGTTTTGATACCTCAATTTGGAAAGCTAAATTATCAGAAGCAGAGGAAGTCCATTGGGCAATAGAGTTTTTTTTATGTAAAAGGAGGGTTAAACAGAATTCACTCATGCAGTGGCAAAGTAATAAAATAATACCGAAGCCAAATCCAAACAAGGCTGATTCCCAGTGTTCCGAACTCGGCGGAAAGTTTCCATTAAAAAAGCAGAAGACTTTAATCCGTTTGCGTATTTGCCCTTTTTTCCATCCGGATTTTCCTGCTAGGGATAAAGTCGATACGAAGACGATACAGCAGCACACAGAAACGAAGGTATTGTAAAAGGGACCAGCGCGAACATGTCCGAATTAAGGGATTCCCTTAGGGTGCAGGACTTTCTGCCTCTCTGATGGATCACGATGTAACAACCCTGAGAAGAGATGATACCTGCGGATTAGCTGCCTAATTTCATAATACGTGACCAAAATATTTACCTTATGGGGGGCTGGATATTGAAATGTATTGGCTGCAAATACAAGCGAATCGAAAAGAAAAAATTCTGATGTTTCGCAACCACGAGTGGCTTTCATCTTCAGAGGTTTGGACAAACCTCTGCAGACAGTCTAAAAGCCCGAAAACTAATCAGTTTCACTAAAATGCTGCGCCAATACTTGTTAGACATCGGTGAAACAAAACACAGCAAAGCAAAAATTTCCATGGCCATCAGGAGATAAATAATCTTCCTGGAACAGTTGTTATTTAAGGAATCTGAAATTTATAGCAGTGCAGATGGCGGAAATTAATATGTTTCCATTACTTTGCATCCGGAAGTATTTCCGGACCGGTTCGCTATACGAATATGACTAGCAGAGTTTGCGGTGCTCTATAAATCCCCCCTTTTGACTGCTTTGAAAGATCTACCGTCTTTTAAGTAGGTTTTTAGTGCGATTTATCAAAACTAATAGTTGCAAGTGGTTTCGGGTTGAATAAAAGTAGCCGAGGTAAAAGCGGTTTGCTAGAAAGAAATTAATTAGAAAGCCAAAAAACATGGACGAAATTTGAGAGACTGTTTGGGATTTTTGCGAACACTCAAAAATCTGAGCTCATCAAATCCGCAAGTGCTTCAAGCACAGCAAATACGCTGTGCCCTAAAATGAAATTACCTCAGCTTGAAAGTACACAAACTGCGACGAGGATTTGGCAGGAGAATTAAGTGGAAATGCACCATTCATTTGCAGCGCCCCATTTTTAAGCCTTCATCACTAATCGAAAGCCTAACGAAATTAGGAAACTCAACCAATGAGTATCGAAAAAGTAATAATGACCCATTAAAATTCAATAGCTTCATTCGCTCTCGCAGCAACCGCGTACCTACTTTCTCACCTTTACTGGCCTTTAGACGATAAATATTTCGCTTTAATGCTAAGTAATAGCCGGGCCGTCTAATTTAAAAAATACGAGGTGATAACAAAGCTTTAAATTTCTTCTTCTCTCAACGCGATAAAATTTCACGAGCGTATTCCCTTCAAGTTTGCATAAATTTTGACGAAATTGCTGGCTGCTTTATCACATCATAAACACCCCCTTTGGATGCTTCTACGCAAACAAATTATTCCTAACATGCAGATACTGGTTTTTATGGGCCTGCCTTTCAGGCGCAAATTAACCCTTGACTGGCAGCAACAACTTTAATTGCTCAGATTTAAGTTGAACAGCAACAATTTAAGTCTAATACAGATCTGGAAGTGAAGCATCAATAGGAGCGTTTATGGTTTAAATAGCTGGTATATAAGGGAACTGTGAACATTTATTCTAGTCTATTCGGTTATAAGTACTCAAATCTGGACCCAAACCAGAAAGTATGAAAAAAATCAGTTTGCCTGCACAGCTCCACAAAAGTTTTTTACAAACTTCTTTTTG